TATGTGTTAAAGCAGAGAATTATACTAATGCATACGATGAAGCTGATTTCTACGGGACCTTAACTGATATCATACAACTTGAATATGAGGGGATAGTTGGTTTGAAAATCACACTTTTTAAGTGTACATGGTATGATCCTGTTATTGGTAGAGGCACTCGGAGGAGCAATGGTGGAATTGACGTTCGTTCATCAAAAAAATACAATAAATACGAACCATTTATTCTAGGTACGTATACATAAATGTCAATATATATATATGTATTTATATTTCTATATATTGATATTGCACAGCTTCTCAAGCGGATCAAGTTTGTTACGTCCCGTACCCATATACAATGAAACCAAAGCACTTGTGGCTCAATGTTGTAAAGGTGAATCCGAGGAAAAATATTTCAGGAGAATACAAAACTAAGGAACCAATTGTTTTGCAACAAGAAAATGATGATGCTGTACTTTTGACTACAATTGATAATATTGAAGTCGGAAATTTGGTACAAGAGGTGAACCCAATAGATCTCGATTACAATATTGGAGATGCAGAAAATGAAGATGAATTTCAATGTAATGAATCGTCATCTGATGATGATGATAGTGAAGACGAAATTTACTAATTTTGCTATCACTTTGTGTAATAAATATTTTAACTTTGTAAAATTTTAAGATTTAATACTTTATTCTAAACAAAAATCAAAAATTTTATTAAGTGTTTGAAAACCAACATCAAAATTTAAAACAAAAATCAAAATTATTCAAAACTATATTATAACCAAAGCTTAAACGAAATTAAAATTTTAGCAAATCTATTTATACTTCTATATATTAATAACCAAGTTTTTGAAAATTAAATATCAAACTTCATTTGAAAACTATTTTTCTTAACCAAAACCAAATTTTAAAACCAAAATCAGATTTACCCAAACCCAAATTTGATCAAAATTTGGTTTCCCTCTAAAACCAAAACCAAAATTTAAAACCAAAATTAGATTTTCCAAACCCAAATTTCATCAAAATTTGGTTTCCTCCTAAAACCAAAACCAAAACCTAAATTTATGCCTAAACCAAAATTCTCAAAAACCAAATACCTAATCCCTCACTAACCCGTCACTCTCTTCTTCTCTTCGAGTCATCGTCTCATATACTCTTATGAGAAATGAATTGATCTCTATCATTCTCGTGTGATCCACAATGCTCTTCATAATGTAGAATGACCATTTTACCATTAATGATCTGACCATTAACCGAGATTATTGTTGACCGAGTCTCGAGTTGACCATTTCGAGTTGACCATTGACCCATTCTCATTCTTTGTCTCTCTCTCCCTCCCGACAAGAGACGGTCGACGACGACTGCCTCCACCTCCGTCGACCTCCGTTCGCTGCCGTTGCACCGCCGGAGCTTCATTGAGGTCCGAAATTGAGGTCCGTTTGGTTGCAATGAATCATTGGTATTAATTTTTGGGAAATTTTTGGTTTTAGGAATTGGAAATTAAGAGAAATGATAGATTGAATTGGATTTCATGCACATTGGTGGTTAACGAATATTTCTGGGTTGAACATGACTCTATATTGGCTACAAATGCATTACAGTGGCTGAATCGTAGTGAATTGTAAGTTTTTGAAATCTCTAAACCGACTGTATCTGAGAATAGTTCGATCTGAGAACTGGATCTTGGTCATGCTATAATAGTATAACTAGTAATACTAGAAATACTGGGAAATGATTTATAACTAGTAAAACTAGTATAACTGGGAACAAAAAAACAGTACTGAATGAGTTGTTTTGGGATTTTATTGGCAGGTTAAAATGAGCAACTACGTCACCATACATTATAAATGCGAAGGTCGCATCTATGGTCTAGTGTTGAAGACATCAATTGAGGAGATAACAATACCGATGATAAAAGCTAGGTTATACAAGAAGCTTGGGTTAGATGAAAGTAAGATTAAATTGCAATTGAGTTACATTGCTAGATTGGTTGGACGTAAGGAAAAGTCATATATTTGTGATGATGAGGATCTGTTGGTATATCTATCGCATGTTGATAATGAGAACCGTAGATGTGTTTTGATTGTGGAGTTGATGAGTACACCGGAACTGTATGTGCAACAATCGAGAGTGGGGATAAGCTCTTATGGTATGAATTATGAAGATTCGCAGCGCATTGATGATGAAAGCGGAGAAATAGGACCAATAGGACCCAATGCCATAACGTTGCATGTTGACAACAGAGAAAGAAATGAAGAAGAAGAAGAAGAAGAGGATGATGATTATGATTATGATGATGATGATGATGATGATGATGATGATGATGATGATGATGATGATGATGATGATGATGATGATGATGATGATGATGATGATGATGATGACGACGATGATGGTGGGGGTAACGGTGTGGAATCATCGGATAGACGTGATTATTATGTTGAGGCACCACCTGTTGTTGAATGCAGTCAGAGTTTAGAGCCATGGGAAGACGGTTTGGATTTGAGTATTGATCAAGAATTTCCTAGTAAGAATGCTGTTGTAGAAGTGGTTCATAGAGGCGCATTTTTTAAATCTTTCGGGTATGCTATAAAAAATTCTGATACTCAGCGATGGGTGGTAAAATGCGCGCAACAAAGTTGTACGTGGCACGTAGGAGCAGCAAAGATAGCAAAATCAGATGCTTTTTCTATTAGAACTTACAGGAATATGCACACATGTAACCGTGCTAGTCAGAGTGAAGAAGGCAGCGTGAAGAGGAGAGGATCAGTACGACTAGTTGCAGCTATTGTGAGTGAGCATTATCCCGGGAAACTCGAGACTCCAACTCCTAGAGAAATCATGACACTTGTGAAGAGGAAAGTTGGTGTAGAGGTATCATACTCCACGGCTTTGAGAGGGAAGAATCAAGCTATTTATGATATGCGTGGTACTCCGGAAGATAACTACAGGATGTTGTATCGTTATTTGTACGTGTTAGAGGAGCTGAATGAGGGTACAAAAACAGCTGTGGAACTGGATATAGCGGGAAAATTCAAGTATTTATTCATAGCTTTGGGAGCTTCCATTGATGGGTTTCAGTTCATGAGGAAAGTGATTGTGGTGGATGCAACTTTTCTCAAGGCCGGATTTGGTGGTGTACTTGTTTTCGGCGCAGCTCAGGATCCAAATCGTCACATTTATCCCATAGCATTCGGTGTACTCGGCGGCGAGAACAATGCTAGTTGGGGCTGGTTTTTCGAGAAGCTGAAAACTGTTGTAGACGATTCTTTGGAGTTGGTATTTATGAGTGACAGAAATACCAGCCTCATCAACGCTGTAGCTAACGTCTATCGACAAGCTCATCATGGGTTTTGCTTATGGCATTTGGCTCAAAACGTGAAAGGTCATGCTCCAAGCGCAAGTAGAGCCGTTGTCGCCAAAAAATTCCAAGAGTGCTGTAAGGCTCAAACGGTGGCTGAGTTCAATATGCTTTATGAGGCGTTTAAGCAGAGATTTCCTTCAGCGGCGAAGTATGTGGAGGAGACCACCGTGCCACAAAAGTGGGCAAGATGTGTTTCTCCGGTTGCTAGATACAACCTCGACACAAGCAACTCCGTGGCATCTCTAAACAAAACTTTTAGGGATGCAAGGAAGTACTCCTTAATACCCATGCTTGATACGATAGTTCGAACGTTTTCTGATTAGTTTAACTAGCATAGGAACGAGTCCGTGGCAGGAACGAGTGCTCAGAAACTGGTTCCTTTCGTTGAGAACTTCTTGCACGACAATTGGCATATAGCGGAGAAATTAGATGTGAGGGAGGTAAACGGTTGTGACCTTGAATACGAAGTCATGTCAGAAGAGGGAAATTTTTATTTGGTGGACTTGGCCAATAAAACCTGCAGTTGCAGGTTCTTCGATATTCATAGGTATCCTTGTATCCACGCATTAGCCGCTTTCATCTCCTTCAAGAATAATAGAAGGCGTGATATCCGCATAGAATATTATGACTTGTGTTCGAAATACTATTTCGTGGAGATGTGGATATTGGCTTATAGCAGATCGATCTATGTGGTGCCCGATATGTCTGCGTGGATTGTACCAGATTACATCATGGAGAAGGACATAATACCTCCGGATCGCGTCAAGAAAAAGGGTCGTCCAAAAGAAAAAAGATTTCCATCAACGGGAGAAAGGCGCCGAAGGGGAATGACACAGAACAAACTCAAGCGGGGAAGGACACTAGCAGGGTTACTATATGGAGAAGACTTTGCATGATGTAAAAGTTTTAAGCTTTTGTTATGTGTAATTCGTTTTCGCTTTCTACTATGTTATGATTTCTGTGTAATACTGGTATAACTATGCATGATTGGTGACTTTTCAAAATAATTATGTATTGTTATTTAAAAACTAAAACTAATCACCTAAATTAGTTAATTTTGTTAGAACTACAACTTATATGTCATACAAACCTAAGAATTAACAAAATACGAGTTCAAACTTATTGTTGCACCAGAGTTCTAATATCGATCTTTAACATTCCCTTATACTTTAAGAAACACTTTCTTATGGAGAACCAACTTGCAAAGTGAATGGTACAAAAATACCATATTCAAACTTATTGTTGCATAGGACAATGATATTCATATGTAAAACCATATAATTAAACTGTAATACTAGAAAATATAAGTTTTAGGTGATGTAATATAAGTTTTAGGTGGTGTAGTATTATTTCAAGATTCTGTATAACTGACAATCTGGTATTACTATGTGTATTTTTTCGGCGTGAAATTGAATTTTTTCGGCGGGAAATTTAATTTTTTCATAGGAGAGTGTACTTTTCCAAAAATTTTGATATAATCTAAAATTCAGAGTTTCATTACAAACTCTCGAACCTCTCTTTGTCTCTTAAAATCGATCTCTCTCTCTCTCTTAAATTTGATCTCTCATCTCTCTCTACAAATGGATACAGATTGTAGCTATCACTACACGGACAATTTCCTCATCGACCCATACGAGGACGAGTTGAAGGAAGAGAAGATGCGCCGCAAGGAAATGGAGAAGATGAAGCAGCATTGGGGCATAGTTGGATTCGTCGCCGACAGCCAATATGGGATTCCGAGAAGATGTCCATGTGGTGGATCTATCAAGCACGATGTATCTCCTTCTCTAAAATTTAAACACGATTTCGAAACTCAACCAGGCAGTAGGTACTTCACCTGCACCAAATTTAAAGTATAATCTCTATAATTTCAGATCTGGGTTTTTTTCTGGGTAAAACTAGTAAAACTATATTAAACTATTTAGATGTTCTTCGGGTGTAAAACTTGGAATACTAGGTATAAATATAATGGATGTTGCTCGTTTTTTTGTTTTTTTGCTAGGATGATGGACTCCACTTTCGTCAGCCATGGGTTTTTGGAGTCGAACAAGAGATTGAGAAGCTAGTTATGAAAGTTGAAGAGCAGAGCAAGACGATTGAAGAAATGCGAAAACAGATTCAGATCCAAGCCGAAGAGATAGCCAAGCTCAGGACTTGACGAATCTGTAATTTCCTTTAATTGTTGTTTTAATTGTTCCTTTAATTGTTGTTTTTAGTTGTTGTTCAAGACTAACGTTTCCATTTTGCTTGTATTTTCTTAAGTTATCAATGATATTTTAATTAGTATTACTAATGTTAGTATCACCAAGTATTACTAACTTTTCTTAGTATTTATTTTTCTAGCAACACTTACTACGACTAGTTTTACCTAATAATACAGGAATTCAATAATTCAAATTAAAAACATAGTTCATCCGAGATCGAAAATAAAACAAAGTACAAATTCTAAATAAAAATAAAGTACTAGTTCCAAATAAAAATAAAGTACTAGTTCCAAATAAAGACAAAGTACTAGTTCGAAATCAAAAGAAACTTCAACCAAATATAAAAACAAAGTAGATGATTTATCTTGTTCAAGAGCCTGAATCCTTTCTCGCTTTCACATAGTCTTCATGTGGCTTTATCCTGTCATCAATTTTATGGATGATGTTGTTGAGCAAACCCAATTGCTCTGTCATGGTGTCGTTGAGCAAACCCATCGCGCTAACGACATCCTCCAAAGACATTTTCTTAGCTCGGGGTTTTTTCCTTGCTCTTTCCTCCACCACTTTTTCTCGCCCTTTCACATCTTCCTCCTTCATGTCTTCAAACACAACCGTCAATCCATTATCAATACGTTTTTCCCAACTTTCCACAACAGGATCGTGCTCATCAACATCGTCCTCCATTTCCATTATCAAATCCAACATCGCATTCTCCTCCTCCGAAGCTATCAGCAAACTGTCAATGTCCTGTCAAGTTAAACACATTTAAACAACCAATGTTAACAAGTTTCATTGTTTTTTTTTCAAATCTGCAATGACTACTAACCTTGTTCTCGCGTTCGAGCTTTTGATACACAGTCTGAAGTGGCCAGCCTCTCAAGTCGCATTTCTTCCACTTGGACCTGCACATCCTCGGACAATCGACGCTAGGATTTGGTACAACTTCTCGGAAGCTCTGTCTCAGTGGCATAATGGCCTCCATCGCCAAAAGCTACAAACATACGCATATAATTAGACTTACCTGCAATAGACAATCTTAAAATGAAAAGGAAAACAATGCAAAAGACAATCTTTTACCTCAAGTGGAATGCAAAAACCAGGAAACGACCATGCACTGCCCAACCCCTTCTCAACAAAGTGCTTCATCGTATCCGAAATGGACTCTAAGATGCGATCAAAAGACAATACACCCCAAGGAAATGTCTTACACTTATCCAAATCATCAGCGTATTTTAAAAATACATTAAGCACGGGTTTTGCATTGTCTCCGGTTTTGATGGGAGAGTAGATGATGCTGCTCAAGAAATACAAAACCACCATCCTGAGCCTATCTCCACTATCATCCGGGCCCATCTCCTCAAGCTTTTTCTTCACATCCTCCCTTAAAACCTTCTTTTTGTCAGGAAGATACTTTCGCTTCAAGTAAGAGTTGCCTCTATTATTCCAATAGAGAGGGTAGTTGCTGCAATTGAGTCCTGAGATCATAACATGCTCTCGTAACCCATATCGAATGGGAACGCCATTCACCACAAACCAAGCCTCCTTCTCCCTTTCGATCCTAGCTGTACGCAGCAACAACATCCACAATGGGAAAAAGAAAGACTGAATTCAGTATGTGTATGTGTATCCTTGAAGGGAAAAAGAAGACAAAGAATGGAAAAAGAAAGCCCAAGTATGTGTATGGTATCCATGAAAACACTTTCAATGCATAAGACATGATAATGCAATATTCAAATTATGGTTATAGTAAATAGAGACTGAATTCAGATCATGCAAGCTTCATCAAGACAAGAATATCATGCAAAGAATTCCAAGTGTGGTTCAAACTTCAATTCAAACTAGACCATAACATCAAAGAACTAACAACTTAGGCAATGAAGTGATTTTAAAAATTAACATCTCTCAAAGGCAAACATCATGCTCAAAATTTCGAATTGATGAAACCTCAATGCAAATGCAACTAGATGCAATCCTAAAATGCAAGATGGAACTAGATGATCACTCAAAACTTTTGTAAAAATTTAGAAAAATTTTCAAAATTTTCACATTTTTGCAAGTATGAGAGATATGCAAGAGATGAATGCCAAAAATTAAAAGAGAACTGTTAGTATCACCCTCCCCCACACTTAAATTACATAATCCCTGTGTAATCCACTGTGTAATGAAAGTGAAAGAGGAGCCAATATCCAACAAAAATTCAAAAAAATAAGAGAAGAAGAGAAGAAGAAAAATGCAAAAGTTTTGGAGTATACCTCAAGATCTTGTAATGGAGGAGTAGTGGAGGTGTTTGAAAGAATGGCTTGGAATGGTGAATGGTGAAGAATAAAGCCTTTACTACCTTGAAACCAGAAGTGTGCACCATATTGAGCAAGATCAAAGAGTCATATCGACCAAAACATCTGATATCCAGCTTGATGTAGCTTTTGGGGTTCTTGCAGCGCCTTTGCCAAAATCGCAGTATTTCTTGATCCACTGCACCAAATGACACGAAACCAGCTGCATACGAAACCTAGCTCAATTATCTATCACTCTCATGAAGAAAGTCGAGGCTGAATCGAGACGAAAACCCTTCGTCCAGGCTAATCTTCAAGTCGGTCAAGATGATTGGTCAAAACACCAGATGGATATGTGCTCACTCTATTCGCCGTAACTCTTTAGTAACCGATGAGAATGGCTCGAAACCAACATCAATAGAAAGCTAACTCACGGGGCTACAATGTTGATGAAGATCGCCGAGGCCAAATCGGAATGGAAACACCTCATCTGAGCTGATCTTCAGTCAATATGGTCCTTCGGGTGATTCCCATCGGTCAGTTACAACAGTCAGGGTTGATCGATGTAAATCCCATCAGTCTGGGCAGTGACCGATGTGGTGACCGAAATTCATCCGCTGGGTTTATGTCGATCACTTCTGACCGATGCTGGTGATAGATGTGTTCGTATCGGTCACCTGATGATCGATGCTGGTGACCGAAAATCTGGTATCGGTCACCCCTTGACCGATAGCCTGCCCGAAAGGGGTTGAGCGGTTTCACGAAAATTTCTGTAACTTTCGAACCTCTTATGGGAATGACCTGAAACCAACTCCAGACGCAAGCTAATTCACAGGTCTACAACATTGATGCAGATTGTTGAAGCTGAATCGGAGTGTAGATGCTTTTTCCGAGCCGGTTTTGTCAGGTGAAGTTTCTGGCCGCTTCAACAAGGTGCACCTTCTCCTTGGTTCTTGGTGTAATCGCCATTGTGAGAGTATCTTGGTGCATAGAAAGGCAATAAGACTGAGCAGAAATTTCTGGTTTGTACTCAGTATGTTGCCTACCAATTTTTCTTGGCCATAATCAGTGCACTAGCTCAATGAATAAGCTGTTGTACCTCCTTGGCATTGTCCACCTTGTGCTGAACCATTTGATCCATCTTAGAACCCTGAAACACTAAACAAAAGAAATAAAAAGCAAAAAGAGCATATATAGACAAGGGATAAACATGTAACTACCTTCCAAGTGTGCTTGTTTATAGCCACTAAGCTTGACTCTTAGCAAGTGAAACTCAAAGATGAGAGTGCAATGGAACTAATGTTCCTTCTCCAATCATCAAAACACAAAAAAACATAAAGAAAATAACCTAGTCTAAGCAAGTAATCAAACTCAAATGCCTTAGACACAATGAACTGGCAACGGCGCCAATTGATGTTTAGGTTTTTAAGTCTTAACTCAATCCTCAAACACATATGTCATTGTAGTACTTGAGGTGTCAATCCAATCCAAAGGCTAAGGAACATATGAGATGCAGAAAACTTGCTAAGCTAGGTCAAATAAAGAGAGGGAATTGAACTCTAACAACCTAAGATGAACAAGAAGGAAATCTAACAACCTAAGGATGAACAAGAAGAAAACAAAACACAAAAGGTGAAAATCAAGCAAAGCAACCAAAATAAAGGAAAAACAGAGCAAATTCAGAACAGAGCTTAAAACAGAGAAAAGATGGGACTTGAGATGAGATAATTGGTAATAGGGAACTCTTGACTCAGCCTATGATGCTTACAAACTCACACAATGCTATTCCTTATGCATATGATTCATTTATATGACTAATCCAATCTCTTGGCACTAATCTCTTTGCTAATTACCAAGTCAAGAACTAATTCTCATTAGTAAAATGATAAAAAGCAAGCATTAAGACAAATCTATCAACCCTTTATTTCCAAATCACTCCCTAGACAGTCAATCTCTTGAGCTAGGATAAGCAATTCTCTTGCAAAGCAGTTCAGACATTTCATCAAACACTTGGTGGGCATAAAATGAGCCTAAGATCTTAATCAACTTAGCTAGGGCTACTTAAGTATTAAACACAGCAATCAAGAAAAGAAATGGAAGAATTAACACTAAGCAATCATAGATAGAGTCTCAAATTCCCTAAACCTAACCCATCTCAAATCCCTAAAAAGAAATGCAAACTAGAAAACAGAGATTCAAGACTAATGAATAACAAGGTGAATCTAAAAACATGATCAAGGTGAAAGAAATAATCAATGCATTAATCTCTAGGCGAGGACTACTGATATAGACTAATCTAATCTCTTGGCATTAATCCTTTTTCTAATCACATATTCAAGATAAATCTTTTTACTCAAACACATAATCATCAAGCATTAAGGTCAAAGTCCATAGAGCCAAAAAGCATGCTAGACATCTAGTTTCCTATGCTAGGTTTACTAATCTATTATGCAATAGAACTAACATTAACACACACTATCATGCATAATCAATGTCTAAAGAATAATTTCTCATCAATGTGGTGTTAAGTACTTAAGCACAAGCTATGCAAGACATGACATCAATCATAACTTCATTCAAGCATTTCAGCAAACACCTTAAGTGCAATACTAAAAAGCCTAAGATCAACTTATCCTACAAAGAGGTATTAAGCATGAAGAACAGTCACACAAGAAGAGATA